GAAGCTATCAACATTGTCCGCTACTTGGTGAACAGGTGCATGATTAGGGCTCTCTTGAAGAAAACTCCCTATGAGTTGCTGAATAGAAGGAAGCCCAAGCTGACTAACTTAAGAAAATTTGGGTGCAAATGTTATGTTCTCAACAATGGAAAAGATCAACTTGGAAAATTTGATGCCAAGAGTGATGAAGGAATTTTTCTGGGGCACTCTTCTGAAAGTAAAACCTATAAGGTATACAACAAACAGACTCAGTGTGTTGAGGAGAGTATACACGTAATCTTTGACGAGTCCTATCTCTCTTATGAGAAGAGCAAGAAGGATGATCAAGATGGAGAGCCTCTGCTGGTTCCATGAGAGGTCATTGATATGGCAAATGGAAAGGCAGATATGATGAGTCAAGTGAAGAATACAGGTGAAGACAATGCAATCTCTTCCACATCAGCCGGAGAGGAACCAGGTACCACAATTACAACCGCTGAAGCTGAATAAATAGTGGTTGATGCAGTTCAAAGTACTCCACAGGTAGAAGAAAGAAGGATACAAGGGAACCAGTCAGGCTTACCCAGCTCCTCTATAAATGAAACTCAAGTGCCCAACTGGAAACACAAAAGCTCCCCTCCTCTGGACAACATAATTACTCCTCTAGATACAGGAGTCTAAACCAGATCAAAAGCTAGAAGTTCACTTGCCTTCTCAGCATTTTTCTCCCAAATAGAGCCCAAAAACATTAAGGAAGCCTTAAAAGATGCAGACTGGATCACAGCCATGCAAGATGAGTTGCATCAATCCAAAAAGATCAAAGTATGGCACCTGGTACCTAGACCCTCAGATCGAACCATCATAGGGACCGGGTGGGTATTCAGGAATAAGCTTGATGAACATGGAAACACTACAAGGAACAAGGCAAGGCTAGTGGTCCAAGGCTACAATCAGGAGGAAGAAATTGATTATGATGAGACTTTTGCTCCAGTTGCTCGTATGGAAGCTATTAGAATCCTCATTGCCTTTGCATCACATATGGAATTCACTCTGTTCCAAATGGATGTCAAAAGTGCATTTCCGAATGGTTTCCTCTAGGAAGAAGTCTATGTAAAGAAACCTCCAGGTTTTGAATGTCATGAACACCCTGAATATATGTTCAAATTGGACAAGGCACTGTATAGGTTGAAGCAGGCTCCTCGAGCTTGGTATGAGAGGTTATCAAAGTTTCTCTTAGAAAATGGCTTTGCAAGAGGAAAAATTGACAACACTTTGTTTTTGAAGTAACGAGGGAGGAACCTGATCATTGTTTAGGTATATGTTGATGATATCATTTTTGGGGTAACAGCTGATTCACTATGTGAGGAATTGGCACAACTCATGGGAAGTGAGTTTGAAATGAGCATGATGGGTGAGTTGAATTTCTTCTTGGGTCATCAAGTGAAGCAGTCCAAAAATGGAACATTCATTAGTCAGCAGAAGTATATCAAAGAGCTTTTGAAGAGGTTTGACATGGAAGCATCAAAAGTGCTTGACACTCCCATCCACTGCTACTCGACTAGACATGGACGAATCTGGCTCTTATGTGAATCAAACAATGTATAGAGGCTTTATTCGATCTCTCCTTTATCTTACTGCAAGCAGGCCAGATATTGTTTTTAGTGTGGGACTATGTGCAAGGTTTCAGTCAAACCTCAAGGAATCTCATCTGAAGGCTGCCAAAAGAATACTGAGATATCTTAAGGGAACACAGGACCTGGTTCTGTACTACCCTTTAGGTGATAATTTTAATCTTATTGGGTATGTTGATGCTGATTATGTAGGTTATCTTGTGGATAGGAAAAGCACATCTGGGATGGCTCAGATCTTGGGATCATGTCTTATCTCATGGGGCACAAGAAAGCAAAATTCAGTAGCTCTTTCAACAGCTGAAGCAGAAACCCAAGAAACCCTAGCAGATCTTTTGAAAAAGGTATGTGACAGTTATAACCCCAAGAAAAGGAGAACTCCTAAAACAAAGACCCCTGGCACAGCAAGAGCCAACAAGAAAAGAAAGGCTGCTCCTTCTGACACTACTGAAATTCCTCTCCCAAGAGAAAGAGCCACGAGGAGTAAGCTGAAGCAAAGTGAGGAAGAGTTGCAGAAAGCTTTAGAAGAAAGTACGAAGAAAATTATGGACAAAGGGAAAGAAAACGTGGGAGAGCCTGTTGAGGCTGTTGATGTGAATGAGATGGACTTGGTACATCACGGCAAAAAAGTGACTGTTGAGGTGGAGGTTCAGACCCCCAAGCCCAAGAAAGCCAAGACTTCTTCTAAGAAGTCTACATTTGTATCCAAGTCTGCTGAACCATCTACCCTGGCAAAGAGGACCAGGTCTGTGGTGAAAACTAAACAAGTAAAGATTGATAAAAGAAGAGGAATCGAGTGAAGAAGAGGAGGATGAATCAGACAGTGAAGTGGACAAGCTGGCCAAGTTTGTCAAAAGAACTATCTTGAAGGGAAGACTCCTAAAGGATCTAGAGGAAGAAGGGATGGTCCTATTGCTGGAAAAGCTAGAGGTACAAGGGTGGAAGGACATGGTCCTTTAAATGGATGGCAGATTGGCAAGGGATGAAGTAGTTGAGTTTATAGCAAATGCTGTAGTGCAGAATGGAAGAGTTACCGGCTTGGTGAAAGGGGTGCAAATCTCTTTTGATATGAAGGAGTTGGGTGAAATTCTAGGTGTACCTGCTGAGGGGTACGAGATTACACAAGGCTTAAGTGGCCAAACCTAGAAAATCTTCCGACTGCCCTTGCCATCACCACAAAATTCAGTGATCATGAGCAGGAAAGTGAGCCCAAGGCTGTGTACAAGAGTGAGATGAAGCCTTCCCACAAGGTGCTATTTGAATTTGTCATCAAATGTGTTATGCCTAGGCAGAAGAGATGGCACATTGCAAACTTCATGGACTTGGTTCTGATGGAGTGTCTAGACAGTGGGAAGAAGATAAATTGGGTTGGGTTTATAGTCCAGCTTCTTGATAGGGTTATCAATGGTACCAAGTCTCATACTATTCCCTGTGGGTTCATTCTTACTAATATGCTTGCTCATTTTAAGGTGCCTTTGTGAAGTGGGAGCTGGCTACAAGCAAAGATCACTTTGGGGCAAAAACTCTGATTGCTTGTGACTATGAGGTTCTTGCCACTCCTAATGAACCTGGTTCATCTAAAAGACACCAATCAATAGCAAGGTCAGAGTCTTGGTACAGGAGAGTGAGGCAAAGGAAGTTGAGATAACAAGGCTGAAGACACGGTTGGCTGAGGTAGAATCGGAGAGAGATGTTCTAAGAACTGAACTTGCAAGGGAAAAGGAGAAGAATGATGGAATTCTTCAAGACATGCTGAAACTTCTCCAAGCAAATAACCCAGCCCCTACCTCTTCCAAGCCTTAAATCCTCGCCTAGTGTAGTTCCTTCAGTGACCCAGTTTGGGATGTTTCTTTTGTTGTTGTTTGCTCATATTTTCGGTATTTTTATTTCATTTTATGCATTGTGGAAAAATCATATCAACTCTCAATTAAATCAATGACATATGCTGGTTTTTGCTCTAACTGTTTGTTTTTGATTGAAATTCTTAGCTTGATCAATGATGATTAATCCATGATCGCATTTGGGATAGCCTCAGTGGCCATGAGTAAGCTTTACAATCTGGGTTCTGCACATTTTTATGCAACTTTTCGATGATGCCAAAAGGGGGAAAATAAATAGGTTGTGCTTTAAACAAGTGATGTTTATAATCTAATGAACCTGGTCCTTGATGATAAGTGATAAAAAGGAAAAATATTTCTAACATTGTGTGATGTTGAGCTGAGTTTAAACAGGGCCTAAGCGTATGAAAAGCACAGAGTTTGTCATCATCAAAAAGGGAGAATTCGTTGGCCCAAGTAAAGGTTAGTTTTGAAGACTGACAAAGGAACTCAGGCATGAACCAGGTCCATCCCTTATGAGCACAGATACGGGCAATTATTTGAGCATGTGGGATGCACGTGAATGAGATAAACCTAACTTGACAGAATTGATATCTCCTGATCCTGATCGAAAAGGTTGCATAATTGATAAGGAGAAGGACTCCTTACTCAAAGAGAACACTGTCCAAGATAGGGAAGGAGTTAGAAGTTGAGATCAACTAGAACTCTTCCACCAAGAAAGAGTAGCATTAGAACTCTAGCTATTCTCTTCATCTACTAACTCTATAAATTGCAGGATGTTCTCACTCTACAGGTTAATTCACAAACGCAGAAGTTAAACGTGAATTGAGAGCAAAATAGCAAGGCTTTTTGCAAGCAGTTCTTGTGTGATTCAGGTGTGCAAACCTGAAGCTACATGAACCAGATAGAAGAACTAGTTTCAAGTGTCTGCCTTTTATTCTCACTACAACATTTTAGGCCTTTAACCACACTCAAAAAGTGTGGCCTAAACTATACAAAAGTGTGGCCTTTGATCAAAAGCCACACTTTTTGACCTAAGGCAACGTTTTTTAGGGGGTGGCCAAAAAAGGCGTAACCTTTGCCCAAAGGCAATGCTTTTGGTGAAGCAAAGGCCACGCTTTTAATACCTCCCCTATGACCACGTTTTTCAAGTCTTATAGCCACATTTTTGAAGTGGGCCTTATGTTTCCTTATAGGCCACCCTTTTTAAGTGTTGCTCCTAAAGCAACAGTTATAAATCGTGGCCATTGTTACCATACATGTCACACTTTTGTTAGTATCCTATGGCTGCATTTTTAAAGCGTAACAATTTTGTCTACATTGTAAAGCATATATTTTTAACTTTTATAAAAATCACAATTGTGTGGTTAGAAAGTTAAATATTCATTCCGAATATCCTGTAATCACATTTGTTTCAAATATATTAACTATGTAGATCTCAAGTACTAAATAAACTAATAAATAACAAAAATTATATTAAATGCACATATTTTCTATCGACTTCGAAAAAGAAATATTTCATGTATTACATAAGCTAATAAAGCCAATTGCTTCAAGGTGCAACTAGCAGTGACCTTTTACAAAATTATATGTATTTAAATAGTATCATAAACATCATAATTGTCCAAAAATCTCCATCACTAAATTCCAATAAATCAAGTTTACTTTGGAGCACCATTTCAATTGCATCACCAAAATTTCCTACAGATACAAAATGAAATCAAAAGTTAGATAGAACTAATATGCAAGTGTAAACTCAAGTGAGAAGATTTCACCCACATTTTCACCTATCAACACAATACTATCAACGGAGAAAAGGACATAGTTAAAGAAGGAGATAATAGATAAGGGACATACAGAAACAAGTATTCAACACATTTCTTATGCTAATAGCCAATTGAAATTCAGAGAAATGTTTTGGTATATTTCAGCGAACAGTAGATGTAGAATACTTTGTAGCACCCCCAGATGAGTACCTTTGTACAATCATATAAAGTTGGCCTCGTCATTTAGGAGGATTACATTTTTAATTGCAAGCGTATGACAGAATATGTAATCAAAACTATCCGACTTAGCATACTCCTCATCAGGAAATATGTTTAAAAACTATCTCTTTTGCATAACTCATAGATTTTTTATGTTCTTTATACAAGAAAAATAATTCATTTGATTTCACAGTAGTATATATTTCACAATTTCAGGTTCCATAATAGTACATATTTCAGAATTCTACTGGCTTGAAACCTAAACTAACGCCTTTTAGACAATTGCATGCTTGGATGGAAGCATATCGGCTTAACTAACCTTGTAGAGTATATTTCTCTTCTCAGCACCTCTCAAATTACTTTTGTCCATGTGCGTCTCTTCTTCATGTGGATGCAGAACCAACAACCTAAAATCAAAGTATAGAATGCAGTCCAACAACATTATGGAACATTGATCAAAGAACCAAGATGGTAATTGTGCAAAAAAAATAACAGAAATAGTTTGAAATTTAGTACAATTATAAGTTTGTAGGTATTAAACAGACCTTTTTCTTCTAAAAGTTTGGACAAGAATACTTTAGTTTGTTCATAATTATTCTGCAGAAACAGTATGCTGAAATACTGTGCAGGATCGCTGCAAAAATATTGTACAGAAATACAGAAAGAAGACTATGAGACAGAAGATTATACCTAAAAATGAAACATTGAGGTGGTGAAAAAGCAATAAAGTTGTTGTATGAATGTTATTATTTCCTCCGGTAAAATTCCATATAAAGGAAACAAATCTAAACTAATACAAATCAACTTGGAAGGGGAAAAAGTAACAAATGTGAAAACTAATTTCAAATGCCGGTAATTCCATTTTAGATAATCATTCCAATATGTAATATGCCTAATACACACAAAGAACCTAGTATAACAAATGATTGAAGTGATACCTATTTGACTAAGGTTAATATAAAAATTGTGTAGGCTAGCAACTTTGAGAAGAAAAGGCACAAATAAATATTCAGAAACATGCTAGTAGCAAGACAAAGCATATCCAAATATAACTACAGCCCAACAGAACTACCGCAACATATCAATGTAGAANTTTTTAAATTTTTTTAACATAAACTACTACTAAATTAAATTGATGCTACTAAAATGCTACACTAATATATCTTTTTTCCATCTTTTTCATTTTTATCTAATTAATCAAAGCCAAAATAGAAAACAAGAAGCTAATCTAAAGCTGGACTACTAAAAATGAAAATAAGAAGCTAAAAAAATACTAATATACTATTTAAGAACCAACGAGAATCTTCCACCCCACACTTAAATCATGTAATGTACTCAGTGCATATAAAAGCAAATAAAATCAGGAAGAGTGGTAAAGAAACTGCCTGGTACTCCTCGTCATCCTCAGCATAAAAGGCTCTATCAGTAGCCTCCCAATCATCCCCGTCATCAGCTACCACCTCCTCATCACCACCCCCATCGGGCTCCTCTTCGGGCTACACAGGCTCAAGCTCTGAATACTCAGGGGTGTTGATATCTTCATCATTTTCCAATCACTGGCCTTCACCAATCCCTACCAAATGCTGAGCATGAGCATTGAGCAGATATCATTCAAGTATTCTAGCTCCTCAAAAGTCGCCATCCGCCCACCAATATGCATCTGCAAGCCAAGCGTCCCATAAAAATGGGCCATTAAACTCTCATCCCGAGCCTGATGCCGAGCACCAGTCAAAATGGACCCATCATCATCCTCCTTAGCTTGAATGTTAGAAATGTCAGTGCCCCGAAGTGCTGCAGAATGAACATGTCAAACTCCGGCTCTTCATACACCTCTTCCTTCTTCAAGTAGTGCATGAGCACATTGCTGAAGAATAGCCGATCTACCCTCTTGCTTTTCCTCACTTGAGCCATCTGGTGGCGTATCAACTACATTAACCTTTTGACCGGTCATCAGAAATTTAAACAGACACACCCTCTCTCCCCCAATGTGGGTGTCATGCTCACGAGGCAGTAACCGAGCATTAATCAACCTCAACCAGACATTAGCCGCCAATTTTAGCTTCTTTTTTTTGGAATTTGAGATGGCGGTTAGTCCTCTTATCACGGACCTAAGAAGCGGTAGAATTGACACCACTCAAAGTGCGTCGAGTCACTCTAAGTCGATCAGGCGATAAAGTTTCCCAACGGAGCATGTGGGACATCAGGCGCCCCCAAGTGATTACAAAGAGTAGCACTAGAGATATCAATAAGTCTCCCTCGAATCGGCACGAGCTGCTCATCATCCTCAGGATTCCATCCAGCATAAAACTCTCTAACCAAGCTCACATTGATATCATCTGGATTCTTGAACACATAGCTCAATCCCAAATCATGTATAGACTATAGAGTGCCAAATATCTGGGTACTTATATTTCAACTGGTGCTCCTCCACCTCCAAGTTTGGATGCATATTCTTTGGATGACATCTCTTGTACCACTTTTGGCCGATTGAGGTACACTCTTAATCCCATATTCACGCTCATCGTGAGCCATGGGTTGTGACGTTGCTATAGTTGCAATCGCTTTCCTCCATGTAGCTTGACTACAAGATGTAGCCTCTCCTCGATTCCGCTTCTTTGGTGGCAGTATGGAGGACAATGTCTTCCCCTTGGTGGGGGCTATGGCCTTGCCCTTGCCCTTGCCCTTGGCCGGAGGTTGTGCACATGTATTTGAACGCACCATTGGTACCTGCAAATAGCACTACTAGTCAACTTGTAGAGCCATGAATACAAAGCAAAAAAATGGTACGTAACAACCAACATTTAAGAATTTAGCATATGGCTTTCTCATAAATCAGGTTACTCAGACTTCACCTCGTGCACTTAAGCATTGTCGTATTCTCAAGTCTACTAGTTCTCATGGAAATACAATGTATGCACCCTACTTTAACCATTTATACCGCCTCCGCTGAGCTACCCACACTTAAAATTTCATGCTAGGTAAGCTCACAAACCACTAGTGTATCAATCTCGGAAACTCGGGCTCCAATAGGGACAAAAATTGCCTTTGAGGCATTATAGCGAACACTTGGCGCGCACAAGTTAGGTGTAAGCTCTTATGTGGGTGAGAGATTACCTCACCCTCCCAAATTGGATTGGGATTTTGTAACGACCCGGCCGGTCGATATGAGCTTTAGCATTTCGTTCGGTGGTTTCAGACTTTGAGTAGCTTCATACAATGTATTATAACTTACATGCATGGTCGGTATGCCTCCTAATCTCTGACTTCTTGAGTATTGCATACCCAAATATTATCTTAGATGTAAATGGTGGATTGGTGGGTTTATCACCTTTTCTATTAAGTTTTGTCAATCAGTATCCCATACTCTACTATCTTTCCGAGAACTAATATTTTTCCGACAATTAAAAAGCAGACAGTAACTAAAAAATAAACGAAGCTTTTTGCCATACTTATAGGCAAATGTGTGGGAATTATATACATTTAGGTCTCATCCAGCAACATTCCAACAAATCAGTCTAATCATACTCACCAAGTTATTCTTCAAACGGTATCAAATCAAGAATTCAAGTACACAAGCACAACATTGGACCAAATAAGCACTCAAAATGAGATGAACTCTAGTTTATCAAAATGTAACAGGAAAAGACACTCAACCACTTAAGCTTCACCAAAAGTCTAGAACCAAAGATGCGTCATATTAACTCATCACCACAATAGCGTAAAAATAAATTAAAACTTCAAATTATACCAACAAGAGAAAAAGGAAAGTGTCAACAAGTTATAAATGAATCATGAACTTCTGCTCGCGATCAACCTAGAATGAAAGAAAATGTTAGTAGAGGTAAAGGCATCACATGAAGGTTAATGAAACAAAAGCCATGCATTTTTGGCATCACATAAAAGCATCGATCAAATTCCAATATAAAATTAGTATATGATCACAGAATTCGTAAATAAAATGCAAATCTCTCAACAAGAAAAGAGGAATTTCACCGAAATTTAAAGAAACCATTAGCAAGAAAAGGAATTTCGGAAAAGCCAAATTGAAAAGTCATTAAATTGAAAGCAAAAATTCCAGAGAAACCTTACAAGTAAGTCTTTGAAAAATGGAGGTCAACAGCGGCTGCAAACCCTAAAAAAACAAAATCCCCAATTGAAACTGATAGCCACAGAACCAGACGAAGAGAAAGTTTTGAAATTTGAGAAGAGAAATTAGAAGAATTTTATCGCTTCCATCAACGATTTCCTCCGAACTCACCCCGCATCACTCAATGAACAGAGAGGTACAAGAAGAGCCAGATCTTAGGGAAGAAGGACGAGATCTTCTTGTTGTGTGGGTAAATTTGACAGGCATATTTTAATTAGAGTATTTTAGAGCGTAACTTTTTGCCAAAACAAATAGAGGAAAATCTGAGCGGAAAATTTTAGAGGACTTTAGAGCACGTTTATGGAGGGTCGCAATTGCAAATATAAACAACCACTCCCTTAAAGCGTTACATTACATGTGAGTAAACGTTGCCTTAATTTAATGGATCAGCTACACGTGAAAAGCGTAGCCTTTAAAATAAAAAAGAACACTTTGTAAGCGTTGCTAGAATTCCGTGGCCAAAAGTGCTCGATAAAGGCCACCCATTAAAAAACGTTCCTGTAGATATTTTTGGCAACACTTTTCAAGCGTTGTCTAAAATTGGTGTGGCCTTAGGTCATTTTTGTTGTAGTGTCTAGTTCAATTGTAGTAGGTGTTTTCATATTGTACCTTTCAGCTTTATCTAGAGGCAATTGTAATAGGTACTCAAAGTATTCAAGTTAGAGTTAACTTGATGTTGTCGCAACAGCTAGAGGCTGTGTGCTACAACGGGATTAGAGTTAGTCATAGGTTTACAAAAGAGTTTTTGTAAATGCAGTTTTTGGCTCAGTAATTTAGTGAGAGTTTGGAAAAATCCTACTGAGAAGTACGTCGTGGTTTTTTCACCTTTTGAGTCAGGTGTTTTTCACGTAAAATACTTGTTTTCTTTACTTTCAGCATTTACTATTTCTGCAATAGTAGGTTAAGGAACACTTAGAAGAACCAGGTCCTTCCATAATCAGTTTAAGCGAAAAATTGGACACCACACAAATCACCACCTCTCTTGTGTGGTATTCAAGTATAAAACATAAGAGTATGATTCACGAAACATTTGATGTGCAACAGACTAACACACACAAAATCAGAAATCGTCTCAAAGAAAAAAAAAATTACAACCTTTAACCTATTTGTTTTTTTTCCTTCCCAATTAGGAAATCTTCTCTATATTACCAAATGTCATGTATATGTACATGGGTAAATATAGTTATATGCATCGGGTGTTTATACTAACCCAATAAATATATATTTTTACAAATATGATTATTACTAAATTATAATTTTACCTTTATTTATATTTAGTTATAAATTAATATAATTCGATATAAATAATTTTTACACGTAAACATGTGTGTAAATAAGTTAGTTCTTGTCACATGTGACAAAAAATAGAAGGTAGATTTTTGTGACAAATGGATTTATAATACTCCTCTTTCTCACAGATCTCTTTCCTCGCTCCCGATGTTGCTACGTCTGCCATCGTATCCCAGTGACCTAAAAAGATCACGAAATATCTGTGATTTTGTCACCATCTCTTACGTTCTTTTCATATTTGCGCATTTACACCCATACAAACATCCCCACTTGTATTTATGCCAGATTGCACATCGTTCTCTTTTTGTTCCTCAGACCTATCTCACAAACCCATATACTGGCAAATTGTACCTTCGACGTTGTCCTTGAGAAGGACATTATATTTCATTTGCATATCGTTTGTTGTGTCTTTTTGTTTTTTGTTTCACTATTTTTCCTCTCTTTTTTCCAAAGTATTTGGGTTGCTTTCATTATGCAGAGAAGAAAAATCGCTTTTTCCTCATCCTCATCGTCAATGGTGATCGACGATGAAGAGAAACCGCATGTTTTGGCTGTGGATGACAGTTTGGTGGACCGCAAAATCATTGAGAGGCTACTCACTACCTCCTTTGTTTTGTGTGTGTGATTATTATTTTTGAGAAAACTAGAGTTGCAAGTACTAGCTTTAGAAGTCTCATTATAATGTGACTCGTTTCGCCATATAACAGGGACGTGGAAAAGAAGCCTAAGAATGTAATTTTTTCATACTTCAATGGAGTAGTGTTGATTGAATCCCTGGAAAAGTTTTCTGAAATTTTGTAAAGTGTTTTAAAATTTGAAAAACCGAAGCAAGAAACAAACTACGAGCCTTTTCTATTATTAAAATGAAGATAGCAGGATTTTCTTTTAAAACTTACAACTCTATCTTTTTAAGACTATTCAGACCATAAACGCTCAGGATTTTAATAAACGCTCATTAAATGCGTCATTTTCTCCTTTAATTTTTTGTTCTTTGGTTTATCATAGACCATATATATAGCTTGAATCGGCATTATCTCTCTTTTTTCTTTCTTGGGTTAAAACGTAACAGGAGCCCTATGATAAACCAAAGAACAAAAAATTAAAGGAGAAAATGACGCATTTAATGAGCGTTTATTAAAATCATAAGGCTCAGTATGCCTCTTAGCGTACATTAATAGAAGGCATTTGGCATTATTTACTTTAGTGAGTTAAAGTTTGTACATAGTACACATGAATCATTTAATGCTGTCCCAATTGCCCTGGCTCTCTATCCCCCAGTTCACCAATTGGTATTTACACTTCATTAGTTGCCTGTACAGCTTGCAGACCCTCCATGCTCTCCACAAACCCCCCCCCCCCCCCCCCCCTCTTTTGTAACTGTAACTGTAGAAAACAAAATTACCTCTTTAAGATACATCATAATGCTGTAAGAATCACAAGTACTCTACAGAAATTGAAGAATTAGAATGTCTAGTAAATTAGACTCAATTGGTCAATATACTCAATAAAGAACATAGTTATGCTTTGTTTGACGGTGAACATGTGAATACTTGTTTGCTTAAAGCTATGAGTTTGTGACTAATTTCTGTTACACTCCAAAAAAGGTGTTCTGCTCCACAAAATCACTGAAGTTAAGAGGACATTGTGAATTTGAGCTACTTTTTTTGGTCCTTTCCAGTGACTACAGCAGAGAACGGGCAGAAGGCTTTGGAGTTGTTGGGCCTTGTAGAGGAACAATACAGCAAGAGTACTAGAGTAAACAGTAACTTTGAAATAATATTCTACTCATCTTATACTCTCTTGATTGTTTTTAAAGTTACTCCAATCAAACATCATGAAGAAACATACAATATGAGGCTCCAGACCTCTTACTCAGTCAACACTTGCTTACAGTGTATCGCAGTCACTACTGTTCGGGAGAAAGATTAGTACCTAATTTGCCTCCAAGGGGTAAATAGTAGGTTTTATTAGGCAATGTATATTTGTTTTTGAAAAAAATAGTAACCTATCAAAAAAAGTAGTATCACCAATCTTGCAGTTCAATGCATGTGACTTTTTATCACCAGTCCAATCCAATGCCTGTGATCAGCAACAATTTGTTGTATGGCATGCATCTTTTATAACTTTCTGCTTTTTATACTGAACCTTGATTCAATATTGCAGGAAACAAACATAAACTTGATCATTACTGATTACTGCATGCCAGGGATGACAGGAAACGATCTACTAAAAAGGGTGAAGGTACTAAGCTAATCTTAGGGACTCTGTCTCTCTCCAAAACCTTTTTTTGCCTCCACACTTTCAGTAAGTAATCGCTATATATTCAAAACATGTCTAAATGGCAGGGATCCTCCAATTTGAAAGAGATACATGTGGTCATCGTGTCATCGGAGAATGTCCCCACCCAAATCAAGAAGTAATTACTGAAGCTGCAACCTAATATTAATTGCTTCTAGTTTTGTAACAGATACCAACATATTATCTCATTTTCTATTTTCTGACTTTGTCTACCAAATATAGGTACTTGGAAGAAGGTGGTCAAGAATTTATGCTAAAGCCTCTCAAACAATCAGATGTTAAGAAATTGAAATGTAATATGACCAAAGTAACCGAACCAGGCTATACATCGGGAGGTAAAACAATAGCGCATCCAGTGGCTGGAAGATGCAGAAGATACAAGAGGAAAGCTAAAGGAAAAAGGGACCAGAAATTTTGACTGTCACTAGGGAATATTGACTATTGATCCGAAGGAAAGTGAAAACATTGCGACATCATCGTTCTTTATCTAATTTTTTATTAGCTATTTTGAATAGATCCCATCAGTCCCTCTTATTTTTCCCAATTTACTTCTGCTAAAAAGCACGTGCTCTCTCCCAAACACCATATATGTTGCACATGCATCAAAACTGAACATCAATCTGGTTCCAAAAGTTAAATAGTCATAGCAGTCATGCATCACTAGAACACAAGATAGCTTGCGTGTAAACCGTAGGGAAAACACATGACCCTCAAATGCCAAAAAACCAAACTATTTTGAATTAGAATGTTTATCTAGTTAAACTTGATAAGAGTATTGTACCGTTGTCTAAGTTCTTTATGCATGTGCTTCCTTCAAACACTGCACACGTAAAAATTGAAGGACACAGCCTCAAGCATCATAACCTGACCATTTTGGTGAACACTGGGACTTTGTAACTGGCTGTCTGCTTCTGTAACTGGAGACCTACTGTCTGCTTCTGTAACTGGCAAAGCACAAAGACATTTTTTATTCTCATAAGACTCATCTAAAGATCAGGATCAAAAAAGAGAATTTCTACCTCCAACTCCTGCTTGACATCTAAGTGCAGATTGAGCGTCCTGATTTTTATTGGAACTGTCCTGATTTTTATCTGAACTGTCCTGATCCCCCTTCAATACAGTGGATATCTCTACAAATGAAGATGTTTTTTCTGCACGTTCAGAATAGTTAAACAATCTTGTCCTGTCCACTTCTGGAATTTTTTCTTTTGGTTCCTCACAGTCACTACACTTATTGACAGAACCTGATCCATCTAATGACTTCTCCTTTCCTGAAGACAAACCTTTGCACCGGCCAGAAACTTCAGTTTTTGGGTCAACTTGCCTGCTATCAAATGCCTGCATATCAACACCTTTATCTCCACCTCTCAGGAAATCAGGTCTCTTACCTACATCTCTTACAACATTTCCTGTAACTGTGCCCCGGGAACCAAGAACATGCAATGAATTATCAGACCCACTACCCTTCTTGGGGTCCTGAAACAAGTTCTGGTAGGCGCACCTGGGGCTATCTAGTTCGAAAATCATTGGTTCAGACATAAAACATGAGGAAGTATATTCACCAGGATATTTGATAGACCCTTTGAGGTTCGGTTGGTCAATGTGTAACTTAGGCTCCTGGTCACTAAGGGCATCTCCAATCAATAAGTCTGAACATGTGCATACATGCTTTTTGGACCCTGAAGTTTGGAAGAAATATCTGGATCTTGAATTTGGCTCTCCTCGATCATGTCTAGCCTCCCTCAATCCATCATTGTTCAGGTCTGACCTCTTCTCATAGAAAGCGGGATGGCAATCAGCTGCCTTTGCACTTGGTTGGTTCAGTGGCCATGATAACTTCGTTGGCTCATCCATTTCTTTCCCTTGCTGAATATCATTCCTGTTGCAGTTTCTTCCGTTAGCAAATAACTTCTCACACAACTTAGTCTCCTTGCTCCAATCGGATATATCCTAGCTTCTCCTTTTATTATTTAAGTTCATCTTTTGTTGTCTGTCTAAGTCACCCACCACTGGATGAGAGGAAAAAAAAAACTGATTATATTGCTCAAGTCAATAAGGCAATAAGTACAAACGACATTGACCTGCAGTGGACGAAGATGATTCTTCGCTGAAGAGATGTAAGTATGTCCATGAGAGTAAACTGGATCAGTTCATTAGCAATTGAAAGGCTCAGAAGAGAGATCAGTAAACTGAAAGAACTTCAAATGGCAACCTCAATAAACTCGAATTGTCCCTTGCATCTTCATTTGCAAACCACGTCCCCTCAGCATGGTCTATATAATCCATAAAATGAGGATTTGTACATCCCATGGAAAACCTGCCAGCCAGAAATAAAAGAGTTTTAACCAACCAAAGAACCCCCCTCACACATCTACAGAAAAATGTGCTTACCATTCTCCATCTAAGAACTGAAATCTCTGATAATCTCTGGTTTGAAGTGCTTGGAATAGGGAGTGGGTGAATCTGTTTGAGTGAGATTAACACGTGATAACCACAGAAAATGCGACATATTGGGACAAGCTATACTCTCAGTATTGTCCGGATAACAATTCAATAACACTCCATTTTAGTTCCACATTTGAACGGTTCTTCATAGTTTTCAAACTTGACCTTCTAATCAAAACTCGAGAAGCAAAACAACTAAAATGATCATAGTGTACAGCTTTTAAAAGAGCATCTCCTATAGCAGAAGTGTAAAGCACCTATTATGTTGAATTCTGATTTGGCTCTCGTGCTGATCCTGCAAGGACAAGACACACTCAGTATAGAACAAAAAATACCGTCAATTAGGAATTGAAGTACCATATGAGAAAACTTTGCTTCTGATGATACAAGTCATCAGCATAACTGCCTTGCTTCCTATAATATCTGGCACTAAAAGAATTGGATGAATCCCCATAATAACAGTCCTCAAAGTTGAATTCTTGCATCCCACAACTTTGGTTATTCCAAAATCAGTGGAACTAGCATCAAAATGATATAAGTAGCTGTTAGGTGTTTGCCATAATTTTCTTACCATATTTGGTTTTCCTATCTCTTGAAGGAAAAGGGCAATATAATTACCTTAACTGGATTTTCCTTTTTGTAAAAGGAAATTATAAATTTCCAATATTTGGCTAGTCCTTTTTCTTGTAGGAAAAGGTTTGGTCTTCTATAAATTGAGGATCCTTCCTTCTCATTCAGTAGCATCCACAATGTAGCCATAGGGGACTTGAGAGTCTTGTCTAGGGGGAGAACTTTACGGGACAAGTGTTAGTGTGTTACTTGTGTTTGCCTCTTTGTTCTCTCGATATTTTGTACTCTCTTTTATTATAGTGGATTGCTCATCTTCGTTGTGGACGTAGGTCAGTTGACCAAACCACGTTAAATGTTTGTGTCTCTTTTGGTAGATTTCTCTTTGTTGTGTAATTTATCGTCGTTCAACGTTTGCTTTACTAGATTCCACATGACTCCTGATTTTTCGGTCCTAACAGTAGCTCCTACGTGGTGAACCACAATCTTCATGAAAGCTTTCAGGGAGTGGGAAGCTGGAATTTGCTGGATGCAACATAAAAGACGGTGTAGTTATGCCACTTGTTAAACGAATCAAAATCTTAGAAGATGTGGAAGTGCAAAAAAGTTTGAAAATTTTAAGCAACTTCAAAAGCACTTCTCCAATTTGAACTCTGTGCTACAAGTATTAGTTTTGCATGCCTCTTGGCAGGAACATGTATTCGTGAACTGTCAAATATAATGCCGGAAATTCTAGTTTTCGAAAGATATATGTATGAAAACGTAAACATCTGGACAAGTTACCATGTTGTTAATGTGATGTTCATTTTATAGCTTGCAAAATTCTTGGAATTTTTTTTGTTCAATAGTTGAAGGAGATTTTTTTCCTAAAACTGAGTTTGCAAACTTGAAAGCAAGAGCCACTAAGGAATTTCAAAGTTAAATTATACATTTTTTCCAGTAAAAATGAAGAGCCCTAATAAGAAAGATACTCAAGAAACCAACTCAACTCCACTTTGGAGATGTTAACAAAGAATTAAGCCAGAAAAGATGAAGAGAAGACATTAAGGACCCTACCATTCCAAATTGTGTTTGAACTCTCCTTGCTTTTGCTGAAGATTTCTTCATTCTCAAAAGTGTACAGATCAGTGAAATTGTTATCACTAGGGGAGAACCATTTGGTATGTAGTAACTCCTGTTCCGCGCTGCCACGTAAATTTGCTGTTCCCCTGGGGCAAGAGCATCTGTTTAAAGGACTCGTACAAAAAGGTATTTCTACGTCCACCATCATGCTATCCTGTTGTGCGTCCACACAACCAATTAGGGCTGGTATAATGGAAGGACATCTGCATTGCCAGAAGCCCAGAACACTGCTACAAATAACCAACTGTTTTTTTTTGTTTTTCTTTTCATACGGTGAGGGGTTTATTTTAAAACAAAAACATGCCTATATCGAAAAGATGATGGAATGGAATAGAATAAAGATATTTCCTCATTTTCAAGATCATAAAATCGCTGTACATACCAAGTGAAGCAATAAACATGGAATCTGTAGAATTTAAGATACAGGTGAGGTTTGCCCACCATTTAAAAACCAGACATACTGAAACTAAAAGGAAACATCGGTAAAGCCTACACCCGTTTGATACCATAAGGTATAGTAGATGAAGAGGGTGTGTTTGGTGTGGCATAATTATTATACAACCTTGAAAACTATTTCCTTAATCATTTTTATGTGTTTGGTTGGATATGAAGATACGTGAGATATGATAGTGATAGAAAGTGGAGATAGGGCATGGGTGCGATGTTTCAAAACAGGTTGATATGATGGTTACATATTGGTTTAAGCATGAGATCTGGAGTAAGAGTTTATATAATTGTAGACAAATAGGCATATGCTCATAAAAGCCAAATTCCTGCTTTTTCATCAAGAAAACATTTATCCTAACTACACACACCAGACAATAAATGAAGCTAGAAAGAAATACAGTAGTAATTAAGCTTGCAATTATGGGAAATGAAGTAATAGAAGCACTAATTAAGATTTCTACAGGTAATGGTCCAGCATCCCATGGAAAGGAGAGACTAGTAAAGATAGAAGGTGATAAACTCAGAGAGGAAGTGCTAGTCATAAAACATGCAGCGAGCTAGCAACCCTAACTGAATGAAAATAGCATCAGGAAGTGCTCTCACAAATTCACGTTCAATGCCATTTGTCCCTCTGTTAAGGTAGTCAAATGAAAGAGCTTTTCTCCTAGCCCTTGGGGGTGAGGACCTACCACACGATAAGGGTCTGCAGTCATGCAACATAAAAGCAGCATTTAGCAGGAGCAACTTCAAAGATTTACATGCAACTCTGTGTGGTGATAGCGATAAAGCATAAAATATGTCCATAATCACCTTATTGAAGCATGAAGAGCTAGACTATTAAGTATGCCAATTTATGGTCCTATGTAAGATTGACTTTTCCATTGAAAGTCGGTGCATCGAAATACTGCAACCTGAGAATCAATCAGGTGTCTAGTACTTGCAAAGAATTCTCTCTAGTATTCCAAAATGTAATATAAGCATGAGGCGTGCATGCATTGATTGAACATATATCTATGCCTTTGATTTTAAAATCCATAACCCTTGAGCACATTGTGCATCGCATAGAGGTACTTAGAACACTTTCCAGTGGCTAGATTACCTCAGCTTACCAAGTGAGCATTATCACGGATTTGGGTGGTTATCTGTGATTGTATTACTTATTTGCTTATCTGGAAATACATAAGAACATCTACTGGACTACTTGCTGGATGCAACATTACTGTAAACTACATCCATAACATTAATGCCTCATCCTCTGTTTACGAAAGCCTTATATATGTCAGTGGCAAAGAGGACTTAGTTCAAGCATACAATTTTATCATCTATATATGATGACCTGTTAACAGCCAGATGATCTCCTCAAAACCTGGGAAATGTAATGCATGGCTGTCCAAATGTTGTTTTCAGTCAATAAAACTGGTAGAGGCAGCTTTCACGGCCGGTTTTAAATTTGAAACCTATCTATCCATAATCTTGACTTCCAAAGGTAGTCCTAACTACTACTTATTCAGGAGGAATCCATTTATCCCTTTTTGGTTGTCATAAAATCTCGTAAAGATGGTATTTGCCAAATTATCATTCATGTTCTCTTATTCTTGATGCATAAAGTACAATTACCTGTGAGGTACCTGCGGTGAATGAAATGGTGTAGACATTTCAACTTTACCTAAACCTAGCAGACAAAAAGGCATTTGATCAAATATCCATTCTAAAAGAACTGAAGGCACGTATAAAGAAAGATAGTTCTTCACTTCTTTTCCCTGCAAACTAGAAATGATCCATATAAAGAGCATAAAGTAGAAAGCAAAATGAAGAAATAATGATAGGAGTAGCGGACAATGATATAATTATAATTAGAATCGTGATGAGAAAAATTATATATATACAAATAACTAAAATCATAATAAACAAAGAGTCATAAAGGAAGAATATTAAAAAAAATCCAAACAATAGCGTTAAAAAGTATATATTAATTAAATTTCCCATATTAAGAAATTTAAGTTATTAAACAAAACTCATAATTTCGTATTGAAAAATAACAAAAACATAATGATAACATTAGGATATTTATACATAAGATGAGGATATTATTTATATAACACAAAATAACAATTATTAAAAATATTGGTTTTACAAAAATAATAGAAAGCTTATCTCTTTATATGTTTGATGAATTCAAAATTATAATTTGGTAAAAAAAAAAATACTACATTACTTTAGTTATAAGTAAAATATTAAATGAGAAAACTAATCAAGTATTACAGTAGAAAAGAATGTACCAGGGGGAGGGGGTGTAAAGATAATCTTAGGATATTTATCCTTTGAATTAATTTTTTTTTTAAGTAGAAGGTAAGTAAGTAACACTCAAAATTAATATTTTTGATAAATTTAGACAATTGAAGAATTTTTAACAGTATAACATAAGTTTAAAAATAATAAAAATATTTTCAGAGTAATAAAATATATATCTCTATTATATTAAAAGAAAAACAGTGACAAAATATTAACCCAATTGACAAGTTAATAAAAAGTTACATTAGTAAATGTATAGTACTAAGTACTTTCTAATTTAATAAAGAATAAAATATGGAATAAATAATTTATTTGATTACGATATAATGTGTATCCTTTAAATTTG